CCTAGAGTGCTGGGATGATAGGTATGTGTCGCTGCATCTGGTTGATTTTTATTTTTAATTTTTTTTTTGTGATACTGTGAACTGAATTTAGGACCTTGCACATGTGAGGACACTACCTTCCCAACCTTTATACGTGACTTTTTAAATGAATCATCAGTCACTATAAGAAGAGAGAGGCATAGAAGGAACACTGAGAAATCGGTGGGGGCTTTCGTCTTTGGCCATTAAAATCCCCGTGCTGTGGAGAAAATGTCTGCTGCTTCTTGAATTTAGATCTGGTGGAACTTTTTTATCAATGTGATCAGCTCTTTAGGTCATTGATGGTTACGCTGTTCAGTTTGGTAGAGATAGCCACATACTTATGATTGGCCATAAAACATAAACTGACCAGGTTTTGCATCTTTAAAATCTTGCAACTTGCCTACTGAGTTTTGGAATGATTCAAAGAAGAAAAAACTGTGAAGCCACAAATTGCTGTAACATGTCAAATTTTGGATGATAAACAGGAAAAAGTACTTATAGGTGTGAATGTTTTTATGCCAGATTATCACATTTCAAATTTTAAAATTGTGGCCTTGAATTCTTTTTTTTTTCACATTTATATTTAAGCTTTATTTGTTTCATATGTTCACAAAATAAAATGACATAGGAGTTTTAAGTTCTTATAAAAGTCTCAAAAGTAAAAGTTTCTATAAAAATGTAAAAGCTGGCATACAAACATAAGATTTTAATAATTATTGTCTTATGCAATAAGAGTATCTGGTCATAAAACATACTTTTTTACACTGATAAAATGGAGGTGTTTTAAGAGTCAAGCAGGTTTTAGGGGAATAAAATCAAACAAATTCTCCAATGTTGCAAAGATATTCAGGGCTGAAGCAGCTATTTTCCTAAAATCTCTCACTTGAAATCACCTCCCTTTTTGCCTTCCTTCCTGTTATTTTATGAAAAGCAATCTAAACATTTCTTTCACTTAATTACTAAGTTTTAACAGATTACATGAAATCTTACATAGAAAAAAAATACACAAGTAGTAGTAAATGTGTGAATATGCACATGCTCTTGAATAGAATTCACTAGGAAAGAACATTCTGGCTTTCAGTTGTTAATGAAAATTCCTTGTTTCTTCATAAGTGCCAGTTTAGAGAATCTGTCATTGAGTGAAATCTTAGTCTGATTTCCTAGTTCTTGAAAGTTGAATTTCAGGTCCACTCTTTTGGGCTGGCACAT